ATTAGGCAATTACAATTAGAATTCCTAGTTTCCTACTAGTCTTCTAATTCCACTTTTGTCTTCTCTTAAAATCTTCTATTCTTTAACTTAACTTGGTTGGTCCGCCCCCCTCAACTCAAGTCTTCAACTAATTCAGAGTTTATTCGGCTTTGTACAGGAGCAAAACCGAAACCGACCCAACCCGACTCAAACCGACCAGGTCGGTTTGGCCTATCAGTGGGTCGGTTTCGGTTCCCACCTCTAGTAACCCGACTAGGTCGGGTCGGTTGGAAAAATCCCATGAAACCGACCCAACCCGACCCGTGAACACCCCTATCACCTACTTAGATGAATTCTCGGACTGTCCCAACATATCCACGTTTTGACCCCCTCTAAGGATCTCACTGATTGGCATATCAAAGAGCCAAATCCGACACCTAGTGCAGTACCATAATCGAGTCTAGGGCCATACTGGAATTTGGTCTGGTTCAGGGTTTTAAGAAAGCCCACACTGCATGTACCTCAGGTCTCACTCTAGCAACTAAAACAAGCCACCCCAACCAGCTTGGTGGCACATCAGTGTCAACCTTCGTAGGATAAATCTCCCCAGATCTATCCAATGGCTGTGAAGATTCTAAACTAACATAAGTCTCATAAGTGTCCAAGTTAAGGTTATTACACAGAAACATACCACAATGACATGAATCAAATATGCACTTTATTCATTTACAATAAATGTCATAATGTACATGCTGATTGGAGCTAAGGGCATACACTGTCTAAGGGCACTCGGCCATACTTTCCACGTGTTTCTCAAACACTTTCTGTGTTAGTGGCTTAGTCAATGGGTCTGCCACATTCTCCACTGATGCTACCTTTTAACATCAATCTCCCATAGATCCAGTGTTGTCACACAAAAGTGGAATGGGTGATGTGTTGAATTCCAAATTCCAGAATGAACACCTTCATTCATTAGGTAGCCTCACTTACGGCAATGTGCTCGATTTGGGTTGTGGACAGTTATTCTTACTACTAAGGACCCATCGTAAAGATGTAACCAGATGCAGACATTCTACCATCTGGGCCTGACTAGAAGTTGGTATCAGTATACCCAACGATCTGTAGTGAATTACCATCGAATACTAGACAAAACTCTTTTTGTCTTTTGAAGGTATTTCAGTATGTTTTTCATAGCAGTCCAATACTCTTGTCCTGAGTTAGATTGGTATCTACTTACCACACTTACGGCRTGAGCAATGTCTGGCCGAGTGCACAACATGGCATACATGATGCTCCCTACGACAGAGGCATAGGGAACTTTCTTCATGCCCTCAATCTCCCCAGGTGTCTTGGGAGACATACCCTTGGAGAGAGTGACTTCGTGCCTGAAAGAAACATTTTCTTTCTTGGAATTCTCCATACTGTATCTCTTGACAATTTTGTCAATGTAAGTAGACTGGGATAATCCTATTATCCTTTTTGATCTATCTCTATAGAGTCAAAGTCCCAAGATATAGGTGGTTTCTCCAAGATCTTTCATGGAGAATT